CATTTCAGTTTTTTAAAAACGTGAAAGAAAACTTGCAATCCAAAAAAATCAGTTTGTCAATAATATGCTTTCATTCTTATGGCCATGGTCAAACTGTAGTCCAAGCTCATTTTTCTTAAAAGAATTAATTTGTAGGTATACATGTTTCAACCTGGAGCCAGCATGCCTTCGGCCAAACTTGGCAACAAATCTCTTCTCTCTGCCCAGTGTATGTCAGATCATATTACTATCCTGACTAGGCTTCGATATCACTCTCTGCAAGGATTACAATGCAGTAAGGGAATATTTTTTAAATAAAAATATAGAATTTTAAAAATAGTTGGCACATGAAGACATTCCCCCTATTATACTTCATATTCACTGTGAAACAAATAGCATAAGTTCATTTGGAGCTTGTGTTTCTATGTTCAGCTTTCCTCTTGTTTGACTTCTGATGTATGATCCAAAGGAAATTATGTTTACTAAAGTGGAATTGTATCTGAGGAAGCACTGTGAAAGCAAGATGAGACAAATGGAAAAGTAGGAAATAGATGTGTTTTGTTTTATTGTTGTTGTTATTTTTAGGTGCTTATTTTTTCATAACTGTCAGTTCCATCTCCCTACCCGTTTCATTGTTAGACTTACCCCTTTGATAATAAAACTGCAGACCAACTTTTTCCGTGGGATTGAGAAAATAAGGCAATGGGAAAATGATGCTGAATTTTCCATTATCTTTGTAAATTTAAATAAGCTTTCTGTGCCAGACAGTGAAACTTTTCCCTGCTTCCTCTAGCAGTTCTTCTGCTTCACTTTGAAGTATGTTACCCCTGGAAAACATGTGAGGGTCCCTGCTCTCCCAGGTGCTGGCTGGTTCCCATAGCCCCAGGATTCACATGGGCATGCAGGGACTCCTGCAGACCCAGACTTTTGGCTTATTCCAGTTCCAGCAGGATACTGCTGCTCTAATCAGCTCCTGTGACCCTAGGCTCCCAATTAACCCAGTGAACTCAGGCACTAGATGGGCACCAGCAAACCCAGATTCCTGGCTAGATCCCACTGTAGGTCAACTACCACAGACTGAAACTCTCAACCAACCAGTGTACCAGACCAGCTCCTGTGGGCCCAGGCTCCCAGCCCATTCTACCACCACGCAGGCCTCCACAGAACCAACCTTCAGGCTGGCCACCACAGCCCCAGGTTCCAGGCTCACTCTAGCACAAGGCCTACCCTCATTCCCCCAGCTCCCTGGACATATCTCATTTCAGCCCATTTTATTTTACAAAAAAACCTTTGGTAATATTTTTCATCAGGAGATTGTTATTTTTAGAATACTACTAAACTGAACCCTGGGGACCCAGATGCTGTACATACCCCACTGGCAACTGCTATCTGGTTGGCCCCTGTGGATCCAGAATCAAGGTCCTCTCACACAGACCTAGACCCAAGGGTATCATTGTAGGCTCCAGTTTCAGGCCCATCACAATGAACGAGGCTTCCACTTGCCCTTATAGGCCCAACCACCAGGCTGGTCCCCATGTACCAAGCACCAGACCTGTCATCCTTCTGACCCAGGCACCAGACCTGCCTAATCAAGGACTTCAACAAAAAACCTGTAAATAGGTGCCACTAGGCAGTTCAACCAGAATCTCTAGGTGGGCTGACTGATGAAGGCCTTTCCTGTCAAAGCTCATATGTAAAGACTTGAAGAGGTTCTTACTTCCTCAAATGCACAGGCACCAATTTAAGGCCACAAGGATCATGAAGGAGCAGTGAAACATGACACCACCAAAGGAAACAAATAAAACTCTAATGACTTACCCTAAAGAAATGAAGATCTATGAACTTCTGACAAAGAATCCTATCTAATAAAACCCTAATATGCAAATTGACTGAACAGTGGAATGAACAGATGCTACGACATGCACTGACCACCAGGGGGCAGACGCTCAAGGCAGGAAGCCGGGCTCACGGCTGGCAAGCTCAGTGGTGGTGGCAGGAGCCTCTCCCGCCTCCGTGGCAGTAGGACATCCCCTGAGGGGTCCTGGACTGTGAGAGGGCACAGGCCAGGCTGACAGACCCGCCCCCTCTGAAAGAAATTTAGTGGACTACAAGAACATACATCTTTCTAATATTTCTTTTTGGTTTTAACTTTGACCTGTTGCATGAGATTATTTAAAAATGTATGGCTTATTTTTAGCTGATGACAAATTAGAAGAAATAACTCACACTGAACATTCAGACATTTGTAATCATATCTTGCACTTTAAAACAAATTGGATGTGGGGATCAAGTAGGGACCTGAGGAGTTAGAAATTTGAGTCATGAAGACAATGAATTTGTGATTGAACCAAATCAGTCAAGGGTGAAATTAAATAGATTAAGGAAATCAGTTTCTAAGGTACAGGTGTCATCAGCTAACATGTTTGTTTTTTTCCTGTGGCAGATTACCCATAGTCCATAGAGAACAGGATCACCAGGCCCAAAATTGCCTTTCAGTCTTCACTTTGATCTCCATTTGGATATTTTGCATACATAATAGTCCCTGGCTATTCCACCCCATATTTACTTTTATCAAGACAATTCTGAATATACTGGTTATTAACATTTTTTTGTACATGTCAAAACTAATTATACTTTCATGAATGCATTATTTCAAAACAAACACTCTGGCTCTTGTGAACGATGTTATTAATAGATTAATTTTATGTATCTGACTAATCTCTCTTCATTATGTTGTGAGTCTTTAAAAATTAACTATACTTGGTTTGATCCAGAATAGATAAAGTAATTTTTGTACATAAAAACATATTACGGGGTAATGTGGAACCTACTGGATCAATAAAGCTTAGTAGGAGTCATTTGAAAGGGCCTGATTGACAGGAAATGGCCTTTACTCTTGGGATGTTTTTTATCTGGTGAATACATAATGAAAACCGACTTCTGAGCAGCTCTCATGGAAGGGTGTTCATGGGAGTTTGTAGTTGGGCAGATTGTAGCTCAGAAAATCTTCAACAAACCTTCTTTCAGGACCAACTTCTTGCTAGGTTCTGAGGTTCCTGAGATGAATGTGACACAGACTTGGTCTATGGGAGTTTTGAGAAAGATTCACTATTTTCCAATGGAATACATTAGAATACAAAGAAGGGACATTTAATCTAGACTGAGAAGAAGGAAGGTTTTCTAGAAGAGGTGATGCTTTGCCAGATTCTTAAAAGAGAAATTGAAGTTCACCAGGAAAATCAGAAGAGGAAGAAAGTTTCAGCAATGGCACAACAAACATAAACTTAGTTTGTTATGGTAGACAATAAACTATAAGAGTGGAAAGGATAGGGGAATTAGACGGGGATGAGGTATCAGGAGTTTAACTTGGATTAGTTATATAAAGAAAGTCTATCCATAAATTTAATAATAACCAACTGGAAAAAGTTTAAATATTTATATCAAACTCCCACCTTCTTTTCTTTTACCTTTCCTGCCCCCAAAAGTTATTGATTATATATCTGTACCTCTACCACCAATACTCACACGCAAATACATGGTTTTTGTCTACTCTCTCTAGCAATGATGGACTTAATTAAGACAGTGGCCATATATATAAGAAGAGGGAATAGTCCAAAAAAGTTACTTCTCTCTGAAATATGAATGGAAGCGATGTTTGATAATTCAAGAATTGCTTCTAGTAAGAACTGGCCAGGTTTTCTTTATGAAGACATGGGAGGAAAAAAAATTCTGATTACAATTTGGGTGAGTTTTCATGGTTACAGGTGAATTATAGTTTCACCAAGAGAAGCATAGATTTGCCAGGCAGAAGTAGAAGCTGAATTTAATCTAGGTAATAAAACTTCCCCCAAAATACAAGGTACGCTTCAGCAAGAATAAGGTGTCTGATGTAACAGGAGGGCATAGTGCTTAATTCTAAAGGATGTAGATACCGTAACATCCTTGGGAATGTTTTCATTACCATTTAGTTCAGAAAAGCTCTGTATTGGGAAACATGTAATGCTTTTATGCCAAGAAGTACCATTACTTTACCTTTGATTTGGGTGCATGAAAATAATTCTCATGGAATGAACAGATGAATGCAAGATGGAAATAGGTGAGGAAACCAGTAAGAGTGACATATAGTGAGCAGCTGTGCTATATGGGGAGGGGAGAGAGGAGGTGGAGGAAGGGGTGTTAGCAACAGGACATATTTTAGATCTAAAAATGCTGTGGCTTGAAACTCCTTGCACAGTGACAAGGACAGAATACTGTAGATCTGTGAGATTTTAAGCTTCATTTGAGAGAGCACATACCTTACAGTATTGAATAGTGCTTGCCAAAGGCTTTGTTATTCATGCCCATCTGCATAATAGATAGAATTTTCACAAATAAATAAGTAATAAGCCTTGAAGTCATCTCCCAAGAAACACACATACTTGGATGGCTTTAAGCAGTTGTGATTTACGCCTCAGTCTCAGGAGTGTGCCAAGTGCATTTACCTGCACAGCACAGCTATCCCAGGGACTGCCTCGGGGAGTGCTTTCTGTCTCAGATATGTGCGGTGGACATCTTGCATGCAACACCTTCACATTTTAATTATCGTGGATATTACAGCTCATGAAGCTACTTATATGTTCATTATCAGGAGATTTTTGGCAGGGTATTGGTATTGTTTAACACAATGAATTAGTCATCAGTGATTGACAGGCATTGTGCTTAAGGTTTGTTCAACATGGAATAATAGTTCATAAGTAATTTGTATTTACTTTTTTCAGGAAACATATAAATGTACTTTATATCAGTTTCAAGTGGCATATAATATTGCGTTAATGTGTTAATATTATATTAGAATTTGAAAATTTGTTTTAAGGATTTTACATATTTCTTTTTCCACAAACCATTTGGTGATGTATCTGTTATTATATAATGCTACGTATATCCGTCAATCTTCGCTAAATATATACATATATTCTTTCTTCCTTTCTTCCTTCCATTTTTCTGATCTGCTTCCCTTGATGACTCTATACTTTTGACTCCAGACTGGCAATATGAGGGTAAGATGACAAAAATTAAAATTCCAAACAGCCTCATGAGCATTGCTTGTCTGTCTTTGTTTCATTCTCTTTAGAACATCGTTAAAATTTTATCCACTTCCTTTAATTAGACTCTTTATCACAATTAAAGTCTAATTATGTTTGTTTCTGTTGTGAAGCTTTAATTACAACTTATCCTTGTTGATCATTCCTTTATGTTATTTCTTTGGGTTATATTACCATCCCATTATCTCTGTCCTGAAAGACTTTTGCTCCCCTGTGGTCTCTGCTGGTGTTTTCTCATTCAGATTTGAATAGCTTCACAATATACAAAGTAACTATGTTATGATGTGGTAAAGTAATCTATGTGGTTCATATGGATTTTTTTAAATAATTAAAAGCTGTTAAAAGTAATGACCCATATTAGTTTGCTTGTAGGATTTTTCTTTTTAACTGTCACTGCCCATCTCACTGTCTCAGTGAATTTGATCTCAGGGTGAGTGCTCCCATAGTTGTAACTTATTACCTTTGGTTGTTTTCTCTCTTTAGATTGCAAACTAGCTAGGGGAGGACCACCAGCTACCATAGTCGCTATTGATGAAGAGAGTCGGAATGGTGAGTGAGCTTTCTGTTTTCAAGTGACGTATCGAAGAGGGATTTCTTCCCATTTTAATGCTATGTTTGTTATGTGTAGAAGTACTAAATAAAAGCTTCAACCCAAATTCACAAACAACTCTCCTTTAGCTTTTCCCAGGTAAGGGTTTAAATATCGCCATTCACTGGTAATGCTTTACTTGGATTATACTATGACAAATTCTAGATAGTTGCTTAGTTTTTATTGTGAAGGAATTATTTGATTTAGGATCAGCCCAGGAATGCATTCAGATACTGGCTGGAATTTTTCTTTGTCAATAGATAGAGTTGATTATTATTTCATCTAACTGAAATACATTATATTCCTCCAAAAGAAGTATATCACAAGGTAAGTCTTACACTGCTAACTTAAATTAGCTGGAATCTGGTAAGGATTAGGATCCATAGTTTATTAGACATGGCGATTAAGAAATGGTTAATGGGAAAACTGAAAGTGCATGGGAACAGAAAAACTGACAGAAAGTCTAGGGCAGACAAATAAGTATGAATTTTCATGCAGGTTGTCTGCCATATTGAATAACTAATTCCTAATTCATATTAAGTATTTTGAAAAGATGTTTTCTTATCAGAACCCAAAATAGATATAATTAGCACTTTTTTTCACAACACTCTTAGCATCTCAAAATGTTAATGTACAAATATTTAAAGCCTAGAGGCTTGATGCATGAAATTCGTGCAAGAGTAGGCCTTCCTTCCCCCGGCTGCTGGCACTGGCTTCCTTCTGGCACCCAGGACCCGGGCTTTCCTCTCAGCTCCAGCTTCATCTGGAAGGTCGTCCAGAAGGACATCTGGTCTAATTAGCATATTGCACTTTTATTATTATAGATTCTGCTCTATTAGGTAGGAGTGAAATAATCTATTGAGTGCTGGTTTCTATTTCAAACTAAGTGTGGGAATGTGTTTTGTGGCTTATTTTGTCTACTGATTCTATAATGGAGCTTCCATTACTCTTCTTTGATTTGTACTTTCTATTTATTCTAAGCGTTGCGTTTTCCAGATTTATATTTTTAAAGAAAGAATTGTCAATTATTAAAAAATGTGTTTTTAATAGAATTAAACCAACAAATTTTGAAAACTTCTATAATATACATAATACCTGCATTATTCTATTCACTTCATCGTGGATTTATTATGCAGCATTAGAAATATTCCTTTTACTCCTTTGAAGAGTTGACAAACTTTTTTTTTTTGTATATCCTTTAAAATAAGCCCAAAATGTCTGCAGATTTGCTGGCCTCTGTTTAAACAAACTTAAGTATCTATTAGCAACACTTAAGAAATCACGAAAAGTTGAGGTTCTTTTTTTTAAGTCAATCCCTAGTAAGCATGAAAGCATATTAAGTTAATTATAGTTATTATGATTCATTTAAAAAATTGGAAGTAAACCCTATGTGTGTCCACAGAAAAGGAAACATATACAAAAATACTATACCAGGAAAATGTTCTACCTCACGTGGAGAATTATGGTTTATTTGTGGTTAACTATTTTTCTGTGAATAAGTTTGTATTTTCTAAGTGTTCTGCAATGAAAACAGTTTTCTTTTTAAACAAGAGATAAAAAAAATAAAAAGACAGAAGACCAATCTATATATTTTTTTCATATTGTTCACCAATTCCCTTGAACATATAAGCTGAGCTGAACTAAAATATTTAGTTTAATAAATATTTGTGTTTTAATGTCTGAGTCTATACAGAGCTTATTCTGCCAAGCAGATAATTATAGCTATAGCTATTATGATATTTTATCTCCTGTCATGTAGATTATCCCACTTTTAAAAGGAGCTTAGGAACTCTGCAAAGATGCTGCTATAGTATATTGCAAAGATGCTGCTGTTTGGTGGCTTATTGTGAAAGATTAATATTTTAGTTTTAGAAGAATGTGACTTGATATAGTGCAGTAATGTTGTACTCCTTAAATGGCTTATTTTGAAGAGACTGCCAACTACTCAGAATTCTGCCAAAGTTATTTGAGTGTCATCACAGAGTATCAATAAACAACCCAGAGACTAAATGCTTTACATTTTTCTTTTACATTAAATTTCTAAAATATGGTGATTAAATGCACATCTGCCAGATATTATAATGTACTGTGCAATTGTCCTTATCTTAAAAGTCTAAAGGAAACAATCCATGCAAATGTTTTCTCTAACTTTTTAGGCAATCTAAGAAACTTCCCAATAAGACCATTAATTCTAGTCCTGCTCTTAAAATACCTTAATTTCTCTTTTCTTGCATTTTAAATGGTAGTAATAAAACATGTGGGTATCATATCCTACCGGTATAATAAGCATTCATTTTTAAAGGTTCCAGGGCTTCTGTTTAAAATATATTTTTATTGACTTCAGAGAGGAAGTGAGAGAGAGATAGAAACATCGATGATGAGAGAGAATCATTGGTTGGCTGCCTCCTGCACACACTCCACTGGGGATCTAGCCCACAGACCTGGGCATGTGCCCTGACCAGGAATTGAACCATGACTTCCTGATTCATAGGTCGATGCTCAACCACTGAGCCACGTTGGCCGGGGAGTCCCAGGGCTTCTTAAAAGTATTAAGCCAAACTAGTAATTTTATTGTGTGTCTACTTGCCTTTGGCTTAATTTATTGATGTGTACTGCTAAACAGTCTCAATTGCTAAACACATCCTCTGCTAAAGTAGAGCTTTTAAATAACTCAGTTTTTAAAAAATCCATACTTAATTTTCTTTTAGAAATCATTGGGGTACATTTACAAAATGTTCATAATTTATCACATGCATCAGCATATTTCAACATTTTTATACTCTGTGAGATGGGAATAGCTCCTTTTTGTGACTATGTATGCTATATGCATTTGGAGATGTGTTTATGTTTGAAAGAACTTAAAATTAGCAGGTGGAGATTCACAAACTTCTTCATCACTCTGTATCCTACTAGATTTTTTTTCTCCTTGGTAATTTTCCTCAGCAACGTATTGATAACAGATTCATTATATCACCCTCGGTCTCAACCAGGAGTTCGTTTTCATCACAACTACCAGAAAGCAAGCTTATGTGGTAAGGACACAAATTCAACACATAAAAAGACAAACATCAGTTCCCAGCAACTACCAGCAAGCTCTTAAGCTAGTATGTACAACATGGTTAGTGTGTAATTACATGTAGAGGGGAGAATGTATACAGAGAAAAAAAATTTAGAACATATTATCTTACTTAATAAAATGATAATTTCTGAAAATTCTTTCTAGTAAACATGTAAATCCAAAATCCTGCACAGGGATATTTATAGCAACCTTATGAAAATTGCCAAAAATTTGAAACAAACAAGATGTTCTTCAGTAAGTGAATGAGTAAATAAATGGTGGTACATTCAGACAAATTCAGTGCTAAAAAGAAATGAGTTATCCACCAATGAGAAGACAGAGGGATCTTAAATGTCTAATTACTAAGTGAAAGAAGCCAATCTGAAAAGACTACATACTGCTATGTACTGTATAGTTTCACTTTATGATACTCTGTAAAAAAGAAAAACTACAGGTAAAATAAAAAGATCAGCAGTCATTAGGGTGGGCAGGGAAAAGATGAATAGACAGAGCTCAGAGGATTTTTAGGGAAGTGAAAATAGTCTGTATTTTACTGATGGATATGTCCTTATTCATATGTGAAACCCAAAGAATGTGTAACAGCAAGAGTGAAATCAAAGGTAAACTGTAGATGTTGGGTGATTATGACATGTCAATGTAGGTTTAACCTTGGTAATAAATAAATAAATAAATAAATAAATAAATAAATAAGCCATTCTAGTGAGTGATTTTGATAATAGGGGAGGTTATAATATGTGAGTGGCAAGGGATATATTAGAAATCTTTGTATTTTTCTCTCATTTTTGTTTTGAACCTCACTCTGCTCTAAAAATGAAGTCTTAAAAAATAATCTTTCTGGAAACATATGCTCCAGTTTCACTGGTCTCTGGGTGGCTTATGCCACTGAGTCCTTCCTGGAAGGAGAGAGCCAGGCGCAGTTACACGGAAACGAGGTAAAGCCTGCCTCTCTGGGCCTGCCAAGTCAGAGTCCGGGCTGCTGTACAACAGCCATGGAATGGCATTCAGATGGGCCCTGGGATGACTGGTTCGGGCTCATTCTCAGGAGCTGGATGAATACATAGGCAGTGTTGAGTCAAGGGAGCCAGACAGTTTTTAACTTGCGATTTGAACATAACACTACCATCATACAAAAATGGACAGATCCAGAGGCAAAAGGATATCACTATCTATGTGAGAGAGTAGAAGGTCCTTGCTAAATGTCCTTTATGGATGTAAAGTTAAGAAGATATTGTGAGCTCCCAGCAAATTTGAGAAATGAAAGGTGATGTGGAGTGTCATCACAACCTGAAAGCAACCGCCAACAAATGATGCCACAGAGCGTTCCATGAGAATGTTTCCCTGTCCTTGTCAGAGCCAGAGCAGGAGCTGAGTTCAGAGTTACAGACCCTCACATGCTTCCAGGGAGGGAGAGGGCACCACGGAAAGAAACGATGAATTCATATGGTCACTCCTCCCCTGCAGTTTCTTTGGTGGAAGCATGAGGCTAGGAGAGGGAGGGGAGGAAGGTAGAGGTTGGCTATTCATTTGAAACAGTTATCTTGTCTGCCATTGTCAAAATCACTAGGCTTGGCAGAGTAGAAGATTAAATTTTTATTTTGCTGTTTTTCATTCGTTATAGTTTGCAACTACCTATCTCTCAGATTTATAGTAAGGAGTTAGCCCAACTCTGCCCTGCAGACCTCCTAAGGGTCCCTGGTAGAGAGGCACACACTGCTGGTAAAAAGGGCCTTGTACTCATTGAAAGAAAAACCTTAAACAAACAACACGCCTTTAGGAATATTCCCAAGGTTCAAACAGAGTGTCATGTGACAACATTTTTTGATATTCAAGTGTTCACAACACTCCCCTTTTTGTCTATTTATCTTCATTCTTCTTCATTCT